TTAAGAGTAGCCTGAGAAATCAAGTTACCATGGAAGATGAATCTGAGATGAGAATTGGAATGATTTTCCATGAAGATTTTCTGTTGAAAATTCAACGAGTGTTCTAAAGAAAATGAGAAGAAAAAATTAGATGGAAAAATCAAGAATGAGAAAGAAGATGAAATTTCCCATGAGAGAGTAAAGTAAATGTCAGAGAGAAACAAAGAAACGCAGAGAGAGAGAGAGAGAGCTCATGAAGTGGAAAGAGGGTGAAAAGGATGAGGATGCTAAGGATGAGAATGAAAATGAGAAGCAAAAGTGGTAAAAGTTATGTTTATTCAATGGGATGGAGATTAGAATGAAGATTTTACCAAGCAAGAAAGAGAAAAGATTCACTTTCTTATATTGGATTCTCTTTCCCTGCCTTCCACCACCACCTCGACCACCCTCTTCCCACTCTCCTCGCCTAAGACTCTAGAGGTTAAAATCATTTCATTGATCGATGTTCCCGTTATCCTTTCAAATTATATATCGAGCAACTTGTTAATCCGGATCAAATCAGAATAGAATAGAAAATGATCCTCCCTCCAACCTACCGTCCACCACCACCACCACCACCACCAACCCACCCTCTCAAATCCTCCCATAGATTTATAAACCAATCTTTATCCATAGAAGATGAAAGGCAATCATAAAGATAAAAGATGATAGTGGACATTGTGATTTAGTAGTAACATTTATGGTCCACAAGTTTGACCAAGTTCAACAGGAATAGTTTCAGATTATGTTTGGTTCATCTGATGATCAAGCAGGATGATGATGATAAAGATGATAAAAAGATGTAATAACAAGAATAATAATAATATAATATTGGATGATTATGATGATGGTGGATGAAGATAAAGCCAATTGAGGTTGAATTTAGAAGGAAAAAAAAACTTTTTCTCTTTGCCAATTTACTTTTATCAATACAATTGAAATGGAAAAACATTTTTCATTATGTTTCAACTTTTATCTTCATCATTAGCATCATCATCTTCATCTTTAAGTATCATGATGATTATCAGTAAACTGAAACTTATGATTATCATCATGGTTATCAGGATTAATCAGATTACTCTGTTTATCTGTTCAACCTTAATCATTATCATTAATAACAATACCATTGATATATAAGATAAATACAACAATAGATAACATTGCCATCGGGAATAATAATCATAATGGTGACAATAATTGTAACTATATTAACATGTTAATCAACATGATAAGTAAGAGTGAGAGAGTGGCTCTGGATAGGGAGATAATCTTGTGATTGTTTCCAAAACTAAATTCATGGATTTTCATTAATACGATGGCATTAAGTACATGTGATAAAATTTAATATCACTCAGAATGAGAAAACGTTTTCTCATCATCATGATAGATTAATATTATTATTATCATCCTGGAAGAGTAAAAAGATTCTGGTGAAACAGATTAACTTCAATAATATAAAGTAACTGTTATGAGATAATATATATATATGTTACTGAACTTTTTTCTTCTTCTTTCCTCTCTCTCAAAGTCGATTAAATGAATTTTCAATGAACATTTTCATCATTGTGGTGAAGAAAAAGTTTCTATCCCATTTATCTTTGTGAAACTTTTTCGATGGAACTGATTTTATCTCTCTCTCTCTCTCTCTCTTTCTCACAAAGTTCTTAATCTTTTCCATCATCATGATGGTCGTATTTTCTTATTCCATGGGATTTTATCGCATTTCCGGATTGAAAAGTCAATTGAATACTTACCAGTGAGAAAGTGAAAGTGAAAAAAGTGAGTGGTAGAGAGAAAAGTTCAAGAATAAACTTTTCCATGAGATTCAGTGAGTTCCCTCCAACTGTTTACAATATAATCTTGATCTTAATTCATTGGGATAGGTTAGATTATCTTCTCACTCCCCTTGAAGTTTCAAGAAACTGAGATTGTCATTCTCACCGCTAATCTTACACACACCAACCTCTTCACCTGAGATAGATACATTGATGAGTATTCATTTTCAATTTCTCACCTTAGGGACAATGAATTCGAATACAATAGAACAGTTCAAGATAAGAATCGTCAAGATTAAACTCGAGACCCGTGACAATTTGATTGAAACGAGGTGGAGTCGATCAGAATGATAACAATAAAGAAAATCGAAAAAAAAAGTTTCTCTCAATTTTCCCTCCCTGATGATTGAACTTTTTTATTGTTATTATCAAGTCATTTTATTTTTCTTTTACACACTTTGTCTTCCTCATCTTCCTCATCTTCCTCATCACTTTACTACTACTGTCATCAGCTCAATGTCTTATATATAATCAGGTAACAATAACACAATCATAAAAAAAAGACGATTCAATCAATGAGATATTAACAAAGTTCAAGTGATCAGTTTCATGGCAACACAATCAAGTTCATTGTTATTATATCATTTTCATGATTAACTTTGATCATCTAGGTAAATCAACATAATATAACCACAGTTAATATCGCAAAGGAATAAACAATTTAAATCTGACAATATTCAATGTTTGTCTTTGATTTGAATGAAACAAACATACTCAATGAAACTAATCCAATAACCTAAACTCATGTCCAGTTCAATGGTCAATCTAAAATGGGAAAACCTTTATCACTCCCTCAAAATTGTCAACATGAGTAGCGAAATTGAAAAAAACTTTTTCTTTCCTCTTCCTTTCAAATAATATTGATTGAAATGGTCAAATTGATGTTGACAAGTTACAAGTTACAAGTTTGATAGACTGATAACTGACCCTTAATAATATTAATCTACTTGTGTACAAAATTGGGTAAGTGGGTGTTGGTAGTGTCCATTGTGAGGACCCATCAAAGAGGTTCAAGTTAATCACTTGGCTGTTCATACAGTAGGTAACACAATCTTCATTGGTTTTAAATCAATATTTGATTTAATCAAAATAAATTAATCAACAGTTTTCACTTTCAATCATAATTAAAGTTGAAAATGTTTCAAATTTCATAATATAATAAATACATAAATGTTGGAATCACTTATATCAACCATAAGAGTGAATGAGTGACATGAGTGTAATTAAATGTAACTAATATATATGTCTGGGAATAAGTAATTACCAAGTTAATTGTACTAATCAGCTAATTAAATATAACACTAACTTATTAAACTGTATTGTATATCAATATAAATTTACTTTAATCATGTTTGACTTGGATTCATGTTAGATCATAATTTACCTGGTTAAGTGTATTTAATGGTTGAACCTTATACAGTATATGGATAATAGTAATAAATTGTTATGTGAGACTTTCAAATGATGATAATCAATGTGATGATGATGATTATCATCATGTTGATAATAATAAAGTTGCAATAGTTAATGATGGTTTTCGGGTTAATGTTTATCATGTGAAATTGTATTAAGGATAAAAAACAATATGAGTTTTAATCAGCATTATCGTTAGCATTTACTATTGTCTTGCTAATGTTTATGAGCTTTCATTTTCTTGCACCCTGTTGGTATATTTATCTATGACCCTGTAAATTTATCTTCTTTGTTTTTATCTTCTTCTTTATTTTCCATCATGGTGAAGTTCAAATTGTTCCAGAATTTATTGAGAAAATTTAGTTTTCTCTGTCTTTGTTTGTTTCTTTTTTTTTCTTCTTCAAGTCAGTAGATTAGATTGTGGGTGGATATGCATGGAGAAGGAAAGTTTTGATTGGAAAAATTTTCAGAACTTGAGCCAAGAAGGAAAAAGTAAAAGCAGTTAAGTGAAAGATGATGATGAAGATGGAAGATGAATCGACTAGGATTAAATGATATTGGAAGATGGCGAAAGAGAGTAAGATAGATGATAAGGTAAGAAGAAAGAGAAGAGAGGAAAGAGTTAATATCCAGACAGATAAACAGACACACACAGGAATAAGAATAAAGGATAACATGGGGAAATAAGAAGAGGGAATTTCCAAAGATTTTGCTCAGTTTTACTCAGACTTTTTCCATCTTCATCTTCCACCATCCCATGGAATCACAACTTCGCAGTATCACAATCGGATGTGAAAGGGTAACGAACAGGGTGGAAAATGTGTATTCTTTTTATCGATCCATGAAGAGAATGATGATAATGAAGATGATAAAGAAAATGCAACAGTATCATGATCAGTAGTGGAGGAAAAAATTTCTCAGATGGAAAATGATGAAGATGAAAAGACAGAATAAAAAAGAGAAACAAAGAAATCGCTCTTATATGGAAGACATTGAATAGAATGCAAAAAAAAATAACAAGACAGAGAAATACAACTCACAACCATCAGGGTGAATCGAGAGTGGGTGAGGAAAATATCATAAGCTAATTTATCCTGGAATTCATGGATATAACTCTGAGCCTGAAGATGGAAGAAGTAAGAAACTAAAACTCACAAGTTTATCTAATTTCATGGTAACAAGAAATTCTCACTCATAAAATGGTGAGGGAGGGAAGATGAACTCGATATTATCTTGAACTGGGAGTGAAAAAATCGAGGGTAGAAACCAATATAAGATGTGGTAACTAGTTTCACTGAACTTGGTGTAATTTCATTCAGTAATCATGTGAACAACAAGTTCCAATGATTAACAATTTGAAACAAGACGATGAAATAATCATCATTATCATATAAGAATAAGATGATTATCATTATATAAGTTATCATGTTAAGATTGTTTTCCTTTAGATGATAATGATGATTATTATTCCTCATGATTATCGCCATTATCATGATTATGATACAATGGTAATCAACTTTAATCAATGATTACCTTTCAACTATTATAATCATCATGCTGAAAAGGCGATAAAAACTCATTGTGTTGAAAACTATTGAACTTTTTGTATCCCATAACATTATCATTATAATTTATATATTCATTGAAATTTATTGCATAATTAGATATGACTTTTGATTGTTAATCATATTCACTTACGGATGATTATTATTATTTTTATTGTTTCTCTTACAGGGTATTCAGATATGGTTCAAGTGATTATACCGATGCTGTTAGATTGGGAGTATTACCTCATTCATATCCACGAGAGGAACCAGGATCAGTTCAATTGAAATCTTTTCATCCAATTTTTTCAAACTCTTACAGATACACTAAACTTCATTATCCAGGAGCATTTGCTTGACCATAAGGATGACCATCAACCATTATCTCTATTATTGATTATCCACCAGAAAATTTTTACATGTAACATTGTTTATCGCAATTAGAAATTGTTTTACTTGCATCAAGGAATTATCTTCATTATCTCCATCATCATTATCGTCTTCATCTTTATTTTCTCATCTCTTATAACTGCATCTCTTCCGCATCTTTCTCATTATCAGCATCATCTCTCTCTCTCTCTCTCTCTTCATCCTCTTTCTGGGCAATCAATTTACCTTCCACTTGGTTTGTTTATTAAAATCTCTTGTTCTGTTTCTTATCTTTCCACACCAACATCTTCCGGTAGATTCACTGACCAGCCCATCATTACCATCACCCTCAGCATCCTCATCATCAAATATAATCAACAAAATGATTATCATATCAGGGCAATTGTTTACTACTCAAGATACACTGAAAAGGCAAACAAAGAGATGATGATGAGGATGAAAAAAGCAACAAGATGAGAGACTGATAAAAGAAACATGAACATGATAAAACAAAGCAACTTTTTGTTTACCTTTTAGGAAAAAGGTCACTTGTAGGTCAAGATGACCTTTGCCCTTGCATCTCTCTCTCTTTCTCTTTTATATTTGTTCTTGACCCTTGTAATCTAATCAAAGTAAATCATTCGTTGAGGAGATTAAGTTAAATGATGAATCTTAATTGTTCACTCAATCTAATCATTTTAAATTCAACTTTATGTTGCTTGAAACAAATTAAATAATCAGATTACTTTCAATCAGAATTTAATCCTTTTAATTGAATCATTTTACTACTTAATTAAATGAATCTTAATTTTTCACAGTCTTCCAATTAAAATTGATTGTTTTCAAGCTTATTATCATTAGGATACAATTTATTACAATTGATTTAATTGTGATAATTGTTGAACATGTCAGCAAATTATTTGCCTGTTAAGTTTATGCAAATAATGATTAAATCAAATGAAAATGTGTAAATCAAATTAATTAATTAAGGTTAAGTTCAATCAAAATAACCTTTTTCAATCCATTAAAGTTAAGTAAACTTTTTTTTTAATTAACCTTTGCTTTTGAAAATTAATTAATCTTTTAGTAATCAAATGATTTACAACAAAAGTTAATAAAAAACAACATCCAAGTGATAATGAATTTCTCATTTTCATTATCAACAGAATTCAGAGTAATCGTTATCTTCATTGAGATACTCATGATTCTCAATCGTAAGTGAGTGAACATGATTCTGGGGGATTTTTGATTCGATCTCTGAATGGATTCAATTCAATTTTAGAACTAAAAGATTTTCATGGGAAAATGAAGTTTTCATCTTTTATTAATTCATTTTCTCTCGAAATTTTCACCATGATGATAAGGAGAGAAAGAGAGATTAGAACATGAAAAGGTGATCATGATCATCTGAACATCTTCTTGAAACATGAAACCCAATATCCAACTCGAACCATCTAATGTTTACAATAGACAAGAACAACAGTCGTTGACAAAATTAATCTTTCTAACTACACTTTCATCATCATCATCATCATTTTCATCTTCTCTTTCTCTCTCTTTTTTAATATCTTTTCTCTTTCGTCGACAAGTCATTGAACTTATCCAATCGATATCAGACTTTTTTCCCCACTCTTTCCATCCACCTCTTAACCAATTTAACTTTCCAATAGTTTCTTACACTTCTCAATGTCCATTGACTGTCTATTTATACTTTCCAATCAATCGGATAATGTTCTTATTGTTTCAATTATCAGGGTAGAAAACGAATGGTAATTAATTTCCATCAAGTTCCAAACATGAGACGAACATTGGAAACCCAAGAAGAATAACCAAAAGCAAAGAGAATCAAAGACGAAACTGCGAAAACGAATAAAATGTTTTATTCGATTACCAAAAGATGTCACTGATTCTCTTTTTCTTTTCAAAGTTCTAATGATTTTTTTCGAATCCTGGTTATTAGAACTCGAAAGAAATCTTGCAAACCAATGAAGCTAATTACAGTAATCAAGTCATAACCATCCAAATATAAACACGTATAATTTACTAATTAACTTATACCTCAAATCGATTAGTAAATTAATGAAAGTAAAGAGACAGAAAGAGACGAGGAAATAATATAATTGAAGCTGAGATATTTTTCGTATTCGAACTCATTTTTTGTTTGTTCAAAATTCGTAAAACTCTGACAAACTAGGGAAACATTTTACACCTTAATTCTGGATGAATGAATTTCACTGTTATGAAAAAGAGGAATGATTTTATTTCGATTGCATTTCTCTCTCTCTCTCTCTCTCTCTCTTTTCTTGCTTTCTAAAATGGTTGTTAGCATTTGCCGCTCAAATGAAGTGAAATAATATCAATATCTGATAACAGAGTATTCAGATTAACAGAGAATTCACTTAGATTGTTGTGTCAAAATGCTGAGAAAAACATTAATGTGATAAAAAACAGAATACAAACAATAAACTCTCGAGAGTCACTTGATTTATCTGTTGAAATATTATCAGGAAAATCGTAGGCATTATTATTATCATATTAATATCGATCATGATCAAGTTTTTATATAACAAAATCATGGAAAACAGGATGATTATCATGAGAAAATTTCATCGAGTTTTTATATACAAAGAAAAAGAAGAGAGAAAAGAAAAGAAAAGTTCACAAGTTTATTCTAAATTCTGGAGAACTTTTTTTTTCGATTATATTTTTGTTTTTCTGTTCAATCGTTTGTACATGAAAATGAGATTCTCGTGAAAATCATGATAAAGTTGATTATTATCTCTCCATGTGATATATATTCATATTCACATGATAAATATTGAAATCATTGTATCGGGTTGAATGTGAGGAAACAAAAAAGCCATCATGATATTATATCAGAACTTTTTGCCTGAGATAATATGATTATCGCCCTGTGAATATTATTACATGAAAATGTATATATAAATATATTGGATTCTAGTTCTGTTTCAATTCAGAGGATATTATTATCATGATGACCCTGGACATGATCTCATTGAGATTCAATGAACAAACTCAAAGTTAGAATTTTGTTTTTCTCTTTCACCAAATAATATTCATTTCCAATTGATGATCATGATAATATTTCTCTCTGTCTGATTCTCATCTATTTATCATGTAATGTTTTTTTTTCAAATGAAACTTTTTTGTTCCAATTTCATGATAATCATCATAATTTAGTTCACTAAATTCAGTCTCCAATTTTATATATTATTATTTCAATGGCAGTGTTATAAATTTGATCTATGTTAATCAACCCATGATAATGATCATGAACATGTTCAATTCTGATTCTGATATATATAAATAACTTGACGTAAATTTCAATTCTCACCTTCAGCATTTATATCAAAATGATTATTACGTTTACATGGTAAACATTGGAATCTTTGATATTTGATAATCTGATTCATCATTTGATTGGTAGAGAAAGAGTTGAATTTAATTGTATTTGAAAAGTTCATAGACAATAATGTTTACCTTTCACCTTTATGATTGGAATCACAAAATAAAGTTCTGAGACTGTGATAAGATATTATTAGAACTTTTTTTCTTCGAGTTTGAGTTTCGAAAGTACAAACTTTAAACTTGACGATTTCTTTGATCTTCTTGTTATCCGGTGTGTAAGTCAATGTACTTGTTATTGAATTTTGTTCAGAACCATGAGCACCAATTTAATCTTTTACCAGGGAATGTGATAAAAAAGTAAATCAAACCTGAGACTCTCATGAGGATTGACAGATTTTTTTTCCATTGAAAAGAGAAGAAAAAAAAGTTCTGATGAAGGTGATAGAGATTCAGTTGATGACGATGATAATATTGAACTGAAGTTTATATTCTCACATGATGGAGGAAATGATATCATTATGATTATGATAAATATGATTATTATTTGAAAGGGATTCTCATATTAAGATTGAGACATTGATATGATATGTGAGTGGGATCATTGAACGGGAATATCAATTCAAGGATAATTTAAGAGAGAGAGAAAATAAATGAAAATAATGATGAGGATGATGATAGAAAAGGAAATGAAAATAACGGGTTGATTTTGATAAACGAAAAAGATGAAGATGTAGAGCTTAGTTTTGCGAAAATATATTCGGATTCCCAAGAGTAGGTTAGTTTACTTGTGAGTAAAGTGGAGGGTAAAAGGGAAAAAGATGATGATGATGCTTGGAGTGAGAATGATGAGAAATTATGATGATGAAAAATAGAGAATGAAAGTAATTTCTCTCATGATAATCTTCTTCTCGTGTATAGCATTAAACTTGTGGTTACCTTGTAGTGGAATAAAGGATTAGAATGGAAACTTGGCTTCTCTTTTTCTCCTTTTCATCTCTTCAGAAGAGGAAAAAAGAGAAGCAGAGAGAGAGAGAGAGAGAGATATCATCTTCATAGTCATTCCAATGGGTTGATGAGAGTGAAAATATTAGTATGAAGAAAGAAAAATATAAAAGTAACTATGAATTCTCATGTCAAACCTAAGACAACTTGGAATCAACTCTAAGATGATATTAATAATATACTTTTATTCAGTCAAGTTACTTATTCACTTTTCAGGGTGAGAGTTGATTCTTTCTCATGGTAACACTCAATATCATCTAGAAAACATGGCTGATGATGGTAAGTACTATGGGACTATATGGAGGAGGAGAGAAAAAAAGATGAGGATGCTGAGGTAGAAGAGGAAAAAATTGTTATCCGATCAAATGTTACTCCAAGTAGGTGAAGAAAAGAGAGAGAAAGAAAAAAATAAGAAAAGCGAAATGAGAGAAAAAATTATTTTTATATTCTCAATGTAATATATTTATCATTTTCTTTTACTTATTCTTAAAGGAAAATGATAATAATATGATAAGAATGATGAAAATACTATCAGAGTAAAATGTTGACAGGAAACTGAATGTGTCTATGTTTTGATATTAAAGTGCTTACACTATTAATTTACATTGAATAGTAATCATTTCATGATAACAATAAGTTTATACACTTTGTTATTTCACCAGAGCATTAACCTTAACTTTTTCGCAATGATAACTATTCATTCAATTGCTATCATCATGATATTACCATTGTTATTTAATTCTGATGATGTTATTTAATTTATATTATAAATAACAGAGGAAAATAATAGAAGATGAATTTTTTTTCTCTACTTTCTCTAGCTTCTGTATCATCTTTATCA